GCACTCCGGACATGTCCATAGGTGCTCAGATCCTCCCCTCAGTATGAACCCCAACGTCCGATGGCTAATAGTACCAGTTCTATGTTGATTAACAAGTCTTCTGGCGTAGCTGGTGTGCGTCTTGTTTTTTTGCGGTGCGATCTTAATTCCCAAGTCTGCCATTCTGGCGAGTGATGTGGATTCACTGCCACCAAAGTCCTCTATTCTTCCCATTTCTCTGAGGGCATTGATAATATCAGCATGATCCATAGGCTGACCGTCGGTAGTGATAGCGGATCCAGCCAACCTGTCAGCTCTTTCATTTCCATTTCATTTCCTATATAGTCACCGTCAAATTCTATGACTTAAATGAGCATGTATGCCTTGCTTTTATCATGTTTTTCAAGTTGCCATAATCATTCCTTCAAAAAATGAATAATATTTTGAGGTCTGACTCTCCACTTTCTGAAACCTTAACTCTCTGAACCAAGCAATCAATGGTGCTCTATTGACTGGACAACTTCCTTAAAATTTACAAATGTTTTCCAAAAAATCCTTCTCTTTAAACAGAAATGATACAGTTTGTTGTTTTGAATACATGCTGTCCTTGTTCAATATTTTAACGGATTAATGCAGATGATTTTTTTTTTGGAATGAATTTCCAATTCTCATATAAAATACTGACCTTTTAAATTTAAAGTCTGTAAAATTTCAAACTTCCTTCTTCATTATTCATTGAGGAAAAAAAACTGTGTGGCATAACTCTCTAAATATCCCTCATATGAAAACGATGCTGGCACATGCAAATGCAACAACACTAGTATATCCAGTGTTGTAATACCCAAAAAACAAAGTACGAAGGAGCACTACTAAAAATATCCTATTCAACCTTTTTGAGTTATAACTGGGATATATGGTGTCAGTTATTTTCAGATAATCAATATGTTTCTCCCACGTGTGGGCCCCATTGTGGGGAAAACAAAAATAGACCCACTGCCTCCCCAAAAGCATGTCGTAAGAGTCGACTAATTGGGGAGCTTTCTTTGAAGTCGGAGTGCATCTGCCGGAGAGGCAAGGAACCAACAGTCTGTATTCAAGAGAATGAGATCTGTAAAACTGATGCACACGCAACACTCAGGTTCTGGAGCAGGACTGCAGTTCAGTACTGGACGAGCAACCAGAACTTTCCGCCAGAGTATACAGCTGGTGAACGCGAAGAAGAAGAAGAAGAATATGTTTCTCTAACACATTCTTAGAGCTCTATGTGATGCAGTGACCAAGCTGTATATGCCTTTTGTTCTGCAAGTTTATGCCTTATTCTCAACTTGTATTCATCAATTTATGATGGTTTGGGGTTCATTTACAAACTCTCTCAAACAATTCACAATGGCTGCAGATTAATTTTCAAACTGTGTCCATGAGTTCAAGATGGTTCAATGTTAATTTTCAGACCCTGTCCATCAATTCAGGATGGTTCAAGGTTCATTTTCAGACAGTGTCCATCAATTCAGGATGGTTCAAGATTCATTTTTAGACAGTGTCCATCAATTCAGGATGGTTCAAGGTTCATTTTCAGACAGTGTCCATCAATTCAGGATGGTTCAAGGTTCATTTTCAGACAGTGTCCATCAATTCAGGATGGTTCAAGGTTCATCTTCAGACAGTGTCCATCAATTCAGGATGGTTCTAAGTTCATTTTCAGACAGGAAAAGGGGGGGGGGGATAATGACTTTGAAGTGAGGAGTGTTTCTTCTTCTTTGCGTTCGGTTTCGTATGCTCAGATCAGACCATCAGGTGGGTTGCCTCTATGAACTCACATGTCAGCTGCAGATCCTGTATGGGTCCGCATAGCTTGCTCTGCCCACTTTACTCTTGAGGCCAGGTGTCTTTTCAAAGTTGCAGTAAGAGTGGGCAGGTCTGCAGAATGAGCTGAGGTGTTTGTGGTCCTGATTGACAGGCACACTGTGGGGACTGACTGTACAATCTTTATTTTATGCATGTGGTAGTTGAGCCTGCAGTGTCCTGTTCGTAGACAGAAAATTGTTGTATGTTGCTTTCTGTTGAGTCTGCTGATGGGGTCTTGTGGATGTTTACTGTTAGTTTGTTCTCTCCACAATCCCTTGTATTTTCCTTTGATAAGTGTTCTGATTTCTGGTAATGACAATGAATGGGCATGTTGTTTCTCCTTTGTTCCATTTTTTGCAAGTCTGTCTGCTAACTCATTTTCTGGTATGCCACAGTGAGCCGGGATCCACTGGAGAACAATTTGATTGTTTTCTGTGAGTCTGTTTAGCTGACAGGTCAGTTCTCTTTCCATGTTGTCTTGTGGATCCCTATGAGTCGCCTGGAGGACTGACATGCAGTCACAAAGGAAAACAATTTTGCGGTTTTTAATTTTTCTTTCCTTGAGCACTTTGGCTGAATCAATAATGGCTTGCTGCTCTGTTCTAAAGTTTGTTGAATCTTCTAGAGGCGCATGATGTTTCTACTGTGGTCCGGTCTTGCAGCATGATGACCGATCCAGCTCCTCCATTTTTGTCTGCTCCCTCCAATGATCCATCGGTGTATACGTGTGTCAATTTGGGTTTTGAATAACAGTTGTAGACATGATCAAGGGTCTTTGCATGCAATACTAGGTCACATTCTTCAGCCTTTCTGTCTATGCCTGGAATTGTTGTTTTAACTGTACAATTAGGCTGTAGGTCTGGATCATTTCCCATGTTGAAGGATCTTTAGAAAGGATTTCACTGTTTTTTGTGTAGTACATTTTTGATAGATGGTGAAAGCTTTGTCTTTTCAGTCTGTTTTTTTGTTGTTATTTGCTATTCTGTGCATGGGGTTGTTGTTCATGTGTTTAAATTTTTCTGTTAGGGTAAGCACCTTTTCTTCCCTTCGACGGCTCAAGCTCTGGAGGCCACAGGTTGCCTCCAGCTCATTAATTGGTGTGCTTCTCATACCTCCAGTGATGATTCTGAGACCAGTGTTCTGTAGTAACAGTTTGTGTAGGTTTGATTTGGCTGCAGTGGAGTATGCTCCCATGCCATACTCCAGTTTTGTTCTTACGTATCCAGTGTATACTTGTCGTACAGTGTTGGTAACTGCACCCCAGCTTGTTCCAGTAAGTGTCTTCATAAGTCTGAGCCTCAGGGTAGCTTTCCTTTGGGTGTCTTTAATGTGGGGGCCCCAGGTTAGCCTTTTGTCAAATTTTACTCCCAAATATGTGGGGTTATCCTCTTTGGAAGGATGTTGCCTTCTAGGTACAGATCAACTTGTTCTGGCTTTGTGGAAAGAGAGAACAAAGTTGAGACGGTTTTGGTCTGGTTTATTGTGACTCCCCAAGAGTCTGTGTCCATTTCTTAACTGTATTTAGGAGTGTTTGATTTATCAGAGCTAAGAAGTCGGTGACACTCTCAGCAATTACCCAGCAGCAATATGGTGCAATTATATTAATCCTGACAACTTTAATCACTTTTTCAAGTTGCACTTCTGCCGTTAGTGCCCTACAGCTTCCATAATCATATGGTACACGAGAGGATATGGATTGCACGATAGCTTTCATAAAGGCTACCGACCTGCTGATATAAGTTTTCTGACAGAAGGATCGAAGAAGAAGAAGAAGAAGATACCTTTTAGATCAGTGTTCTCCTTCAAAGTCAGACCACATCTGCCTGAGAGGCGGGAAATACACAGTCTGCCTACAAATAAGCCAGATCTGTAAAATGGATGTGCATGCAAAACTCAAATTCTGGAATAAGACCAAAGTTCAGAAGTGGATGAACAACCAGAACTTTTTGCCAGAGTCTGCAGCTAGTGAACGCTAAGAAGAAGAAAACTGTGATAATCACACTATGCTATCATCATCCTTCCTGTCAATATATTCAAAGGTTTTCTATAAATGACTTCAATTTTGATTATTGTCCTTTGTAATAAGAATCTCTTATAGAGATATATTTTTGTTCTTGTGATGTACTGATTAATCTTTCCTTGCAGTTCTCTAAGGTTGTCTCATGTTAATATTTTCCACAGTCATAGGCTTACTGTTGTCAGTTACACATTAAATCGGTTGTTTTATTTAGAGTTCATACTTCAAAACTTTAAATGTGATCATATTTACTGATTGCACTGGCCAGAACTTTCTCAAAACCTGAAGCTAAAATCAGACAAGAATCAAGAGGAGGGCATCCCTGACAGATATCAGAGAGCACCTCCAGCTCAAAAGTCAATGAAATTAAATACAACAAGGCTGAGTATTTTAAAAGAACTACCAAAATACACGTCCCCACATCTCTTTGCTAGTGAAATCAAACACCTAGCCTTTTCATATTATGAAGATGGTCCCATGTGTGAGTTGTGTACATCAAAATTGCAGAGTAGGCTACAAGGTGACTGTCTTGGCAAACTTGTTGGGAAAGCAAAAATATCCACAGATAGATGGATCCTCTTAACCTGGGTGGCATCTATTTAAAAGATGACAACCTTACACAAATACATGCTGAAAGTAGCCAGTATGACAAAGTCTATTTGAAATGGGAAGAAGACAAATAAATGAAGAACAAGAATAATAATAATAAGAATAAGAAAAACAAGAGGGAGAAGGGTAAAATATAATAAATACTAAACACAATCTTGAATTACAGCTGATTCATAATCTATTTAGAGACTAAGCTTAAAGGAAGATCAGATCAAAGGTAGTTAGTTATGATGCTTGTAAACTGGTAGAAGGGACCATCAATGTGATAATTGTTAGTAACCGGCTTACTGTATTTCCCCAAGTACTTTTTTCTTGTAGGGTCTAAAAGCTGTGTCTTATACAGTGGTCGTAGATCTCAATGTAATCTTATTATTTCCCCCAAAAATTTGCCGTCCTAAAATCAAGGTGCGTCTTATACCGTGGTAGTAGACCTTAATGTAATCTTACTACTTCCCCCCCCCCCCCCCCCCCCCCAAAAAAAATCATCTTATACTTGGGGAAATCTGGTAATTTTCTTTCCTTAAAACTGTCTTTCAGCTATCACAAAAAGTTACTCTAACTTTCTCCTTTTCTGTGCCTTTACATTTCCAGTTTCAGAAATATCTTGAACGAAGTCACTGATTCTTTTTGTAGTCTGATTGTTTATGGGTCTTGCAGGAGTCATGTACAAGTGGGACTCTGGGTCTCTGTTGTCCCATTTCTCTGATGCTTTCAGTTGAATACTCTCTATGTTTGTAGAGGAATGATGAGATTTGCTGTCTGAGTGATTGCAAGGGGAAAGTGACTTTCTTGCACCAGGAGATTCAAGATGAGGGGCCTGGAGGGAAGTAGCAGATGATGGAGATCTTGAAGCTGTCGTGTAGTCTACGGTAGTTACAGCTGGAATGAAACCTCTCAGGCGATGAATCCCAGACTCAAACACATCTTCTTGAATCTTCCTGGACTTTGTGCTCAAATCTTGAGGCTGGTTATCGTCATCTGCAACTGTTCTGAAAGCAACGTCACTATCACTCCTTAAGGATGTTGCAGGGTCTAAAAGGGGCACCTTGATGGCACTACCCAAATGAGTATTGGTCATGGTAAAATGAGCTGGCAAGAGCTTGGGCACTGACTCTGAGTGACTAAAGATTTGAGGTTTATCTGCACTGGCTGCCTTGTAATGCATATCTATTTGGGTATGAGCTGGCGAGTTATAGGACGAAAACATTTTGGTCTCGCTAGACGCAGCCCTTTTATTCGCTCCAGGCAACAAGGAGGTTTTGGTGAGTATGGGGTTATTTACAGTTGAAGATTTCACCTCCACAGCAGCTACCCTATTTTCAGAATAATAACTTTGTTTAGACTGTGACTCATGTTCGCTGTCATCATCTTTCTGAAGCTCCTCGGCAATGATGTTGGCTATTCTTGACCCATGGAAATGAAATTGTTGCAGAAAAGTTTCTGGATTACTTTGATGGCGGTCAAAATGATTGTGGTACTGGGAGCTTGAAGCCAAGTGGTTATAATGGGCACTTGATGCAGCTCGACTAGTAGCTCCATCCCATGACAGACTAGAAGGATGAGAAGATGGAAACTGTCCTCTCCCAAGTTTTAAATCCCTCTCGTTTGGTGATGATGAATATTCCCGCTTTGAGACCATGCCATCTTGTGGTAATACAGAATTGTAGCCATTTTGATAATGCTGGAATAACTGGTGTGTTCTTTCCTGGTTTAATGTAGGAGCCGCATATTTCTCATGCTGTTTTGAAATGGTCACCAAGCGTGAATCTTCATGGAATGTGGAACTTGGAGATATCCTTTGGCTTGTGTCTGCTGGACTACCAACCTTGAAACTGTTACTATGAAGATCATTTCCCACAGTCCTCGGAGAGCTGATAGTGTACTCTGGCAGGCTTGACGAAGAAGATGATGACATTAATTTTAGAAGGACAGGCATGGATCTATGAAGTTCTGGTGATGACGATTCAAGGACTGCCCTATCATGCCGCTGTTTTGCGACCTTGATCTGATATTCTCTTTCAGACTCTTCCTGAAGCCGACGAATAGCTTGCATCTTATGCTCTGTTGCAGACTCGGTATGAATATTTGCTGCAGATGCAAGGAGATCCAGGTTGCTGGACATGTGTTTATTTGTATTCCATGCCGGGTCAGGTTTGTCTTGTTCTTTCCTTTCAGGTGGTTCTTTCTTGGAGTTGGTGCTTTCCTGCCCTTCAAAGTAACGCTGCTGAAGAAGAGACTTCAGTTTTGGATGCTGCAATGAAAAAATACAATAAAAGTGATTAGAGTTTTGATTAAGTTTTGATTAGAGTTTTCCATGTTGTTATGACAAATTTAACAATTCATTTGAAATATGAATGCAGCGATTATGAAAAAAATAAAATGAAATCCATTTTATTTAAGGCATTAGAATGGTCTCCAACTTAGAGACACCCCCACCCTCTTCCCGCCCGAAGGAAAGTGAAGTTTCAAGAGGGGCATCAAACAATTTTGAGACTGAGTACATTTGCATTTGTAATAATCTTGTAATTGTAGATTCAGAAAATGGTGCGATGCCTGTCGTGCAGTGTTTTGGTGCCCGTATGTGTTTAAAATTGATCGCGTGGGCAACTGCTGATCTGTTGGCGACTTCTGCTACCATCAATGATGAAATGCAATTCTAATACTGTGATAAACATTCTGTGTGTTTTTCGTTGGCACAGGAGCGGAGCAAAGATGGGGTGACCCGTTTGCTATGAAGCTGAAACTAAGACTACCAGACTTGTAATAATCTGGATTTTTAGCTTTTCATTTAACAGTCATGAAAACAAAACATGATGAGCTTGATGTGCAGAGTGATTTGCATTGTGCCTTGTCCAAAATCAGAGCTAAAACAGTAGATGTTATAAAGATAAAACAGTGTCAACCATCACAGTGACATTTGGACACAAAATTATACCAGTTGCTGGTGATTCTTTTATTATTTGAAACTGTTTTATATGGTCGGAGTCTGTGGCTGAGTTGCTGTGAATGCGCTTCGTAATGCCCGGTTCAATCCCAGCTGCGGATGATTTGTCTTGCGTGGGTTTTGACAGTGGTACGAAGAGCTGACCATTTAGAAGCAATGGCAAACTACAGAACATAAAATTTGCCTAGAAAAACCAAAACAGTCAAAAATGTTGGGATTGGGTCTCCAACGTCCTGTAAACGATAAACAGCTAACTTTTATATGGATGTTCAGTTCTACTCATGAAAGTCACCCTATCTTGTCGGCCACAAGATTATGTAGCGGTTTCCAGTCTGTCCTATGTTCTAGGGGTGTTATGGCATGTCTTCTTTTGCTGTCTAAACACAGTGTGCTGAAAAGTGGCTCAGGTTCGTTTGATGCAGTCACCACACCCTCCTAGATGAAGTGTGCAGCCTTCTTTTTGTAATTCTCTTTTCTATGCATGACTATTGTTTCAGGAATGCATTGTTGTTAAGAGTAGGTCTCAGGTGCCAAAATACCTCCGTGATAGAAAGAAGCATTGCAGGGGAAAGCGCCGAAGGTGCAATGTTTCATGAGCATGGAATCATTGATGTTCTAGTATTTTTACCCTAGCTGGTAGTGGCTGTCATTGGTTGCAGATGTAGTTTAAACATTCAAAACGAGTAAAACATGACACCCCTCGATTATAGGAGTGTCCTGGTAAACCCATTGCAAAATCTTGTGACCCACTTTCATGAGTTGTACGGAATGTTTTCCTTCAAGTTCTTTTCAAAATTATTTTGAATGTTTCTTGTTGTGCTCCTGTTTTTAATCATAGTTTGTTACGTTGGAAAGGGGGATGTGGGGGAGAGGGTCATGCCATGTACTAATCGGGGGGGGGGGGGGGGGGGGAAGGGGGGGGGGGGGAGGAGGAGACATGAAAGAAAAGGTTGGAGACCACCAGCATTAGAAGCAGCAGATGAATGATCCTTATATCTCCCTCTAAAACTTCGATGAGGTAACTGGTGGATGAGAAGATTGAAAAGAAGCAGCAAATGAATGATCCTTAAATCTCCCTCCAAAACTTGGATGAGGTAACTGGTGGATGAGAAGATTGAAAAGATGCAGCAGATGAATGATCCTTATATCTCCCTCCAAAACTTGGATGAGGTAACTGGTGGATGAGAAGATGGAAAAGAAGCAGCAGATGAATGATCCTTATATCTCCCTCCAAAACTTGGATGAGGTAACTGGTGGATGAGAAGATGGAAAAGAAGCAGCAGATGAATGATCCTTATATCTCCCTCCAAAACTTGGATGAGGTAACTGGTGGATGAGAAGATTGAAAAGAAGCAGCAGATGAATGATCCTTATATCTCCCTCCAAAACTTCGATGAGGTAACTGGTGGATGAGAAGATTGAAAAGAAGCAGCAGATGAATGATCCTTACATCTCCTTCCAAAACTTGGATGAGGTAACTGGTGGATGAGAAGATGGAAGAGAAGCAGCAGATGAATATTATTAAAAACTGTTATATGCATTTTCCTGAGCCTTTCTGGATATGTACAGGAAAAAATTAGGTAAACTTAAAGAAATAAAGATCAAAACTACCATGTGGATTATGGGGCCCAATTATAGGGAAAAGAATAGACCCACTGCCTACCAAAAAGCATGTCATAAAGAGTCGACCAATCGGGAGCTTCCTTCAAAGTCGGAGTGCATTTGCCTGACAGACAAGGAACCAACAGTCTGCACACAAATACGCAGAGAGAGAGAGAGAGAGAGAGAGAGAGAGAGAGAGAGAGAGAGAGAGAGAGAGAGAGAGAGAGAGAGAGAGAGAGAGAGAGAGAGAGAGAGAGAGAGAGATCAAAGGACACAGTAAATAATCAACAAAAATATCGAGGGTGCCAGAGCGGAGCCCTGACCTGTGACATTTGAAAGTTTAAAACCAAGAGGACCGACTTCATTGCCCTAGGTTTTATCCTTTATGGCTCAGTCTCTCTTTGCATAACAGCTAGCCGACTGGGCGCAATAATGATGAACGCTGAAGCTCTAATGATGATCGCAATGTATCTCTAGTTTTTCTGTGCTAGTGAAATGAACATCAAAGTCCGCAAAACAAACCCATTACCTTCAGAGCAGGGGGCAAAGTCTGACAACACTAAGCCACCTTATTACTGGTTCGAAAGAGGGGGGGGGGGGGGAGATATGTTGACTATATAGTGTCAGTTATAATTATAAAAGCAAAGCAAAGGACCCCTTTCCACACCTTCAAGCGAATTGAGCCTTCAGTGCCACACCTATATTTTATAGACCGATTGGCACTTGATGGGCAGTGTGATTAACATTAGGCTAGATGCTTTTACTTCCCAGGACTTTACCTGGTATACATTTAAGGCTAGGTCGACCTTGAAGCTAAGGTTATTCCTGGAAAAAAAAGTCGGGGTTCGTTTAGATCTGAACCCACGACCTACGGATTCGCAGGCGAGCGTTTAGCCGCTACACCATGGCGGCTTCCTTAAAAAAAAGTTTGTGCGTGCGAAATTCAAGTCCTGGAACAAGATCAAAGTCTAGAAGTGGACGAACAACCATAACTTTTCCACTTCATTTTACCGCGTATGAACGCGAAGAAGTAGCAATGAGAAGAAAACCCACCCCACTACCTTCAGACAGCGAGTCCAACAGCTCGACCACTTCACCACTGCTACACAGGAGGACTGAACACACATGGGAATGCCCAACATACAGTGACGTCGACTGTGATAACATAACATAACAAATACACAACCCGCCAATCAAACTTTGACCACACGACCGTTAAATCGGCTAACATTTGGACTAGGGACATTCCTGAAAAGTGGAGTCACAGTTCTGCTGCCCTATCTCGCTATCACGATTATTAGACCAAAGTATGAGTCGAGCGCATGACGAGGGTTTTGAGATAGCCATCAGTGACGTCAAAGGGGATTTTTTCCCCTCTTACGGGCCTTAGTTCGCTGTTATTTTCGGTAGTTACGTGTACAAAGTCGGGCAAGGGTTCGGAGGGAGCTATTTCCAGCGCTTGTTTTTGTGGTTTCAGAAACAACTACCGTGTATACACATCCTATTCGCGGCACCGACTCGTTGTTCGCTACCACATCCTGTCCCAATCCTTCATACATTTCTGCAGTCAGACAACGGGTCTAACGCTTTCTTGGGAATACTGAGCGGCAGTCAGAAGGTGTCTGAACTAGTGGTTAAGTCGTTCACTGCGCCCCCCCCCCTTCCAATAATCTCCTTTTTAGGGGTGCCCCAAATGTGTATAACATGCACAGTAAAGGACCCTTTTCGGTACCATAATTTTAGTTCAACACACCTCGAGGATTCCGAGATTTTCCGGGGAAAGTCCAATATCATGGGGGAGGGTTAGATGGTCCCCATGTCACACCGTAGCACCTCTATACTACTGGACTTTCACTGTGAACTCTCCGAAAACTCAAAGTCCCCGAGTTGGGGTAAACTAAAATTAAAGTACCCCCTTTCCACGCCTTCATGTTTACTGGACAAATAAGGTTCGACCTATTTTTATAGACCAATCGGTCTATTGGGCCGGTCGCCTTTACTTCCCAGTATTTTACCTGGTACCCATTTAAGGCTGGGTCGACCTAGGAGCCAAGGTCATTTTTAAGGAAGGAAAAAACCCCAGCCCAGGTCGGATTTGAGCTAATGACCTTCGGATTAGCAGGCGAGTACCTAGCCGCTGCAATGGAGAGGTTCCTCAAATGTGTACAAGCGTTCTCTATATAAATGTGTTTATTGCGTTAGTTGTATGTCCTTCACCGGACGTGGCAGAACCTACCCCAGCATTTGTTAAGCGGTCTATGATTTCACTATGCAATTTTAGGTTCAGCCGTTTGCCATTCAGTGCCTACTCAACGGTCGACAAAATGAATTTGTGATAAAAATAACTATTTATTGGGTCCCTTGTGAGTTCTCCTTATCAGGTCTGTAATGTATTTGCCATTCAGCACATAATCACCTTGTGCCGTTATTTGTCACATAGGGCGGGCAGTCTAGTTCTGCATTCAGTTCTATGCTGTGCAACTTCTCAGTATCATGGGAGGGATCCAGCTCTACAGCCCCTTGGCCTCTCTCAGCACTGTTCGCCCCTGGAGTTTCGCTGGGACGCCATCGTTACCTTAGTCGATGCCTTCTTCCGCGATCTCTGGTGGTCATTTAATCCACTGGGGGCGGGGGGGGGGGGGCAGAAACTGGGATTTCATCTCAAGGTCTCTAAGGTTTCTACAGGTCAGGTGTATACTAGATGT